TTTAAGAAGTAAATTGTTTTAAATAGATATTTTTATATTAATAATAGTTTAATAGAAATCAAATGGAATATTAGAAAACAATAAAGAAAGACTAGTAGACCGAGAAATGGAAATAATAATCAATGAGTTTGCTATAACAAATATCACAATACATGATTTTTAAAGTAATAACACAACAATTAAGAAATCCAATAAATAATGTAATTTTTATATTTAGACCAAAAAAGAAAATGTAATTTTTATATTAAAAATATTTATTATTTAAATAACATTAATTCAACCAATCACATAAAATATTATAGAATTTAATTAGTCACAAAATCTAAAAATCATTAAATTTTTATCTAGAAAATGAAAAAAATCAACTAATTTGACACACACAAAAAATCTTAAAAAATCAATTATTATGATATAGAAGGAGTAATAATATGAAATTATTGTAACGAGAAAAAATTATAATCCTTTATATATTAATAGAGGAGACATTAGGTGAAAATTCTAGGTGTTATCTAAAGAGGATTTCAAGGAACTCTTAATAAAAACTATTAATTTTTTTAATGATGAATATATGGAAACAATGAATACGTAGTAATTAATTAATATGAATGATTTTATTTAAAGAATATAGAATATATATGAGAGTATCTTATTTTTTTTTTCAATAACTACTAGATTCTTTTATCCGAGTCAAACGCGGGATCAAAATATGCTTATCAAAATTTAACTTTATTACATTTATGTATAATAATATCATTTTGTACGTTTATAAATATTGGAACCACGACTAAATATAAAAATCGATTAGAAAACATATCCCACGCTTGGCGTGGGTTAAACTATAGTAATTGATTAATTTAGAACTACAACAGCTGTATCAAGCTTAGATGTGTTCTTGAAGTTGTACTAGTATATGTATATCTATATATATGGTGAAGGAGGAGACTAATACCATTTCTTATCCCAACCTCCCAAATAGCAATAATGAATACTTCTATCGGTGTATTTCGTGAGGAAGAAATCCATGGAGAACCATTCCTCATTTACAATTTCTCATCTCAAACACACATACCAATTGATTCCAATAGCCACAACATTGGTGTATTTCGTGAGGGAGAACTCGATGGGATACCGTTTATCATGTACACTTTCTCATCTCAATCAGACATCCCAACCTCTTCTGGTGAAGCCGCCATTGATTCCCGTAGCGAAAACGTCCTCTCACCTCTTCAACCTCGTTTCATATGTCCTTCTTCACGTCTCAAACTTGAAAGGTTAAAACGAGAGGAGAGCAGCGACGACAAAGAAGTTCTCCCGCTAAATACGTCCCCTAACTTCCCCAACATAAGAAGCGTTGATGAACAAGTCCAACATTTGTTTGATCCTGACAACGATTCTAGTATTTGTAAGCTCCCTCTATCCCCTGTACTCTTTCGCACTGATGATAACTCTCATAGTTACAGTTGCACTGCATGCGAAACAACATCTATTAGCGGCACTAGCTATTACTGGTGTGTCACACATAATGAAATGTTTCACAAAGAATGTGCGGAGGCTCCTCTTGAGATCAAACACCCTTCCTATCCCTTTCTTTCTCTCCAGCTTTACACTTGTCCCAATACTAGCTACCACCTTTATGTTTGCATCACTTGTGAAAAATGGGTCCATGAAATGTTTTATCATTGTCCTACCTACAATTTAAACATGCATCCTTTTTGCGCGATGAAGCCCATACCAATTCTCATAGACCACCCAAAAAGGCATCCCCATTCTCTCACCTTTTTCCCCAAACAGAATTCTTTATTGTGCAATGTTTGTGGTGTGATTAAAGCACTTATTCCCACATATGTATGTGCTCGATGTGTCTTCGTAGTCCATCAAGATTGTATCTATTTCCCATTTGTCATAAGGATATCTCGTCACCAACACCGTATCTCTTTCACATATTCTCTTACATCCAGAGCAGTGTCTTGCGGAGTCTGTCGGAAAAAGATTGACAAGGATTGTGGTGCCTACTCTTGCAACAAGTGTGTTGATTATTTTGTTCATACAAGATGCGCATTGCGGGAAGACTTGTGGGATGGGGAAGAACTCGAGGGAGTAGCTGAAGAGCCTGAGATAGTTATGCAGCCATTTGAGACGATAGCCAATGGAATCATACTCCATTTTTCTCATGGCCATCATCTTAAACTCGAGCTCAGTAGTGTTTATGATGATGACAAGTTTTGTCAAGCGTGCATCCTTCCAATCTATGAGGGTAACTATTATTCTTGTATGGACGAGTGTGGCTTCATCCTCCACGAGTCATGTGCAAATGCTCCTCGTGGGAAATATCATCCGTTGCATGCTCATCCACTCACGCTAAAAGTTGTTACCAATGAATATCAGAGGAACCAAGGTCACTTTACTTGTTGTGCTTGTCAACGTAAGAGTTGTGGTTTCGTCTATGAGGATCCTGAAGCACCTTGGCGTTGCAGACTAGACTTACAATGTGCCTCGGTTTTTGAACCGTTTAAATATGAAGGCCATGAGCATCCTTTATTCCTAGCTTTAACGCCAAAAGAAGAAGAATCAACACTTTGTCAAATCTGCCAAAGTACTTATTATTGTGATAATAGAAAACTAAATTGCATCGAATGCGATTATGTTATATGTTTCGCGTGTGCTACCCTACCATACAAGGCGAGGTATAAGCATGACAAACATTTTCTCACATTTCTTAAAGGGAAAGAGGCAAGTGCTGAATCAGGCTGGTGTGAGGTATGCGAAAGCAAAATAGTATACTCAAGGGAAGGAGGGTTCTATTCTTGCGATGACTGCTGCACCACTCTTCATGTTGATTGTTTGCTTGGGTCAGACCCGTATATGAAACCTGGTCTAACCATACATATTAATTCAGATCAGGTTCATACTTTTGGCAACAATACCATGTCTCGGCCATTTTGCCATGGTCGTGACTGCGATGAAGACCACCGATGTCCATACAAAGTTGTTTTCGAAAAGACAAACAAGACATTTTGTTCTTACGACAAAGCGATGAAATATTATATGTAAGTGTCATCACAGTCGCTTTGCCATCTTCGTTTGTAAATTTGTTGTCTACGTTTTTGTAATCTTTTCTTTTGTTTAAAACGCCTTGTAGTGTTCTACATCTCACCTATGATACTTTTTGTTTCTTACCTTCTTTCTGTACTTTTCAATGTTTTATTGTTGATCTCAGTGTCACCTTGTTTTATTTGTTTTGGTAATCGAATTCTATATGGAGTCATGGACTATATATGTTTTTCACTTTTAATCTGATTATAATTTAATATTTTCCTCTGTTTCAAAATTTGGAGACCCCTATGCTGCTTGTGGTTAGTGGTTACCGTTTCCTTAGGATATATAGAGAATAAGAATCTGAGAGAGAAATGATATGCTCAATTACAAGTTCTTCGTTACTGAGTGATTCTATGAGTAACGATGAATCTGGTTGTAGTAAAAGAGAGGAGAAGAGATGGACGGTCCATTAATTCATTAATCTTAAACATCAAACATAACAGAAGTTTTGTTGGTAAAATCTCATAACGAAAAAGAGTTCTATGAAACCAGTCAGAAGCTAAGTAACACAACAAAACGTAATCCATATATATAATTAAAATCTCTCCATAAATTAAACGTTAGCTTTGCAGCCTGACAGATCTTTGGAATCAAATGGTCAATAGAGATTGTGAAAAGTGGCCAAGATGATCTTATGC